CGAGGCGCTAGGTGTTTGGGAACACGGAGGTGTGAAGATCGCATCCGTGTTGCAGCGGTGTTTGTACCCCAGTGCACGTAGGACGCACGACGCACAGCTGAGTGCTTATGTTTTTCTACTCCTCGGATGTACCTTGTTTCCGGATAAGAGCGGCGGAAACAAGCTCAGGCCACGCGACATAGTAGAGGCGTGTGACCCCGACAGTGTAGGCCAGTTTTCCTGGGGATCGGCTACGTTGGCGTATTTGTATCGCCAACTAGGATTTGCGAATTGGGCTGACGCGGCAGGTATCACTGGGTGTCTGACTCTATTGCAGACCTGGATATACGAGTACTTTCCTGCATTGCGACCACATCGTGACCCGGTTCCTATTGATGAGGGGATGCCGCGTGCTTGTGCGTGGAGTCCGCGTTCGGAGAAGAAGTCCGTTGACCGCCTCCGATCGATACGGTTATTGCTGGACAGGCTGTCCCCCTTAGAGGTAACGTTTATAAATTGTTTCTACATTTTATTATTTGCACATATTATATTCATGTTATTAAATTTTAAAACTATGTGCAGGTGAACTGGATGCCTTTCGGCCCGAACCCTAGTGTTAGGGTACCCAGGACCCTGTACACGGGACTCATTCAGTATCGTGAGATCGTCGAGGCGTACATGCCCCAGCGTTGTCTTCGCCAGCTTGGATTTGTCCAAGTTGTCCCTCCTCCCCCGGCATGCCCGATGAAGGCGATCCGACCTGCATCGTCGAGGGACTACGTCGTGCAATGGCCGGATATCATGACCGGGACGTGGGACCAGTTTCCGATGGTGACCCGCTTATGGACTGCGGAGTTGCAGCGGCCGCCCTCTGGGGTTCCTCCCATGTGTGACCATTACTACATGGAATGGTTCAACCGGTATTCGCACCCGAGGTTGATCGCATATCTCGACCACAACGATGATGATTATGTGCCACCGCCTACTGCCATGGAAGCGGTATGTCTCATATTATATTTATCGTTGTCTTTTAATTAAGTTTTATATGTTGTTATTGTATTTCATCTTTTATTTTTTGTTGTATGCAGTGGATGGGAAAGATAATGCAGGACGTACAGAAACTCTCTCTTGAGAAGGACAGCATGAGTGCAACAGGGAGAGCTGTTGTTGATAGTCTGGAACAGACCCTTGCGCAGTGGGAGTCGTCGTCGAGGAGGGATTACTGATGGTTTTGTCATTTTATTTATAGAGCACTTTAAATATTATCGTTTTAATTTATTAAATTGGACATTATGTTGTAAGTTTGTAACATTTTAGATTGTTCTTTTAGCTTCCAGCTTAAACATATTATCATTGCTGTTTTTAAATTTTGATATAACCGTTCGTGGATCCGCGCAACTTACCCATGCAACATATAGAATGCAGTAAGCAATACAATATAAAAGATTAATGTTCTCATTAAAAGAGCAACGTACAAATAAGATTACATAGGAAGAATGTAAACATGAAAAACTAAAACGCAGCTAGGGTGTTCCATTCGTGGATCCGGTCATGATATAGCGCATCCCAACCCTCTACGCTCGCTGTGCGAATGTTTTACCACCAGTGTCGGACACCACTGGTACGAATCCCTGAAGTTAGCCAATGCTCGCTCATACGCTTCCTCTGTGGTAGCCTGTAGGATCTTCCGCCACTTACCATTCACCAATCTCTCTGCCATTTCCAAATTCTTGTTGAAAAGGTTGTAGGCTTTCACTTTCACGCAGTTGTTGATGTGCCATGTGCACAATAAGTGGTTCGATTCTGGAAACAGCTCTGCTATGGGGGCAAAGAGACCTCCCTCACAGCCGCTGACGATGGCTGCTGGATGAACATTAGGCCCGATGTAGTTTCTCAGCTTCTCCAACACCCAATAATAACTTGGAGTCGTCTCATCCTTGATGATTGCATGACCAATCAGAAAGTTCTGGTTCGTTGGAGTCATCCCCATGATCTCAACCAGTGGGAACTTGTACTTGTTTGTCTTGTACGTTGAGTCGATCAAAATCACAAATGGCCAAGACTTGATCATATCAGCACAATCAGGATGCACAAGGAAAAGATGAGTCACCTCCGCTGTATCTTCATCAGAATCAAACCAGAACAGGTAACCACGTGATTGTGCCTGGTGTAGCAGCTGCTGTATAGGGTTCCTTCCCTCTGACCGTTCAAACCTGAGTTGCTGTCTGACGTTGTAGATGTGTCTTCGGTTTGGATGGTCTTCGGGAAATTTCTCTAACACAGATGCTAATATTTTAGCAGGCTTGACTTGAGCATCACTCATTTCTTTCACAACTAGTTTCGCAGCAGGACTTAAGCCGCTCAGCTGTCGATGACCCTCTTCATATACTATCATCTCATGGTTGTGATACCCCCATTTAGAGTAACCAATCACTTCCCAACCGTCACGACTCCGTAGTTGTCGAACCTTTACTCTGAACTCACACCCACAACCTTTCCGCTTTGTATCAAACCGAGTGGCTGTACGAAAATCTCTTTCTTCTCTTTTGCGATAACGGTCACATCTCAAAATGCGATTCATTCTACCATCCCGTTGAGATTTATGAGTTACTACTACCAAGCAAAATCCAGCTGCAATTGCAACCTGTTTTGCCCAATCAATCGCCTATTGAGCTTCTTCGAATGGACCATCATGTCCAAATATCCCACTGTAATCATTTCCGTCTCCACCATAATCCTGCATCAATTATATATTACAATAAATACATTTAACGGATAATACATTTAATTTCTATATTTACACAGAATTAACACAAAAAAAAGCATAATTATGTATAATCAAACTTAATTTTTATAAAAACCCAATTCGAATTTTCAAACTAAATTTAAAAATATACCATTTCGAATTTTCAAACTTAATTTTAAAAAAACCTATTTCGAATTTTCAAAATTAATTTAAAAAAAAACCCATTTCGAATTTTTTTAAAAAATCATTTTTGATTTTTTTTTATTTTTAAAAATTAAATAAAAAACAAAAACAAAATAAAAAAAGAAAAAGAAAAAAAAAATATATATGAGGGTGGCGTCTGCCAGGGCTGCCACAGCCACTTGACTGGCGCCTGGCAGGGCCGCCGCAGCCAGTACAGTGGCGCCTGGCCAGGACGCCAGTCTGGTGGTCTAGGCGTCTGGGCTGGACGCCACTCTGGTGGTTCTGGCGTCTGGCTTGGACGTCCAGGCTACGGTTTGGGCGTCCATCCTAGGCGCCGGAGCCACTCCGACGGTAAACCGTCAATTTTAACGGTGACTTACCTCGTTTTCCGTCGACGACAGCGTACCTCCGGCGTCCCCCACATCTCCGGCCTGCCCTCCGGTCTCCCCCGGCGAGCCAGTACGGCTCCACATTTTTTAAACCGAGATTATTTCAATTTTAGAAAATGGGCATAATGGTCACACCAAGTCATATTTGTGGGCTTTATATGGTAATTTTCGGGCGATGTTTAGCGATTCACTTATTTTAACCCTTCATAACTTGATTTTAGCATTCCAATTTGAGTATTCCATTTTTTTTTTTTAAGAATGAGTATTCCATTTAATAGTCATTACTTTGTTAACAAATATTACTTAGAATTCTCCTTGCAAGAAGTTAAGAAAGTTTCAAACATTTTATTTTTTATTTTAAAGATGTTACATTGTAAACTACTTCATTTGTATAATAATTATTATTATTATTTTATTTTTTATTTTGTTCTTTTTTTTGTCAAAATGGTTATTTATTAGTTATTGACAACAACTATTTTTTGAATTGCAAATGTTATTGATTTTAACAATTCACTATTTGATTGTACCCCTTGGCTACGTGATTTAAATCGTCCAATGTAAGTTTTATCGTTAGTTTTGCGTGGTTAAAGCAAGAAATACTATTTCAAGAGTTACTCCTTATTTTGTAAATATGGATTTGAAAGTCAGTATTTGTATTACAACATTAATTTGAGAGTCAATATTTGTGTATTACAAGATTAATTTAAGTATCTAATATTACATATTAATCAATTATCTAATATTAATATAAAGGAATTAGATCATACTAGTAATGCTAATGAAGATATTAAAAAAAAAAAAAAAAACCGAAGATTATTTAGAAATCTTCTTATCAATTTAATTTAACACAAAGGCGAATAAAACCACATCGGTTAATTATATTTTATTGTAATGAAACAATCGATCCGATATTTTATTGTAACCATTTGACATGTTATTTTTATATTCCGCCGCTTTATGTTAAAGTTATACCCATTTTTGATATTCTTTCAAAAAAAAAAAAACCCATTTTTTATAACAAAATGATGTTTACTGGTATCGGGAGTACAAAATAAAGGTAGAATACAAAATTATAATAAGGTTAAAATTGTCCAACTATTTAACATTTTTGAAAATATATCGATATGGATGTCCTTAGAAAGAGCATTAAAAAAGAATTTTATTGGTGTTTTTATAATGATTTTTTGATTTGTAGTTTAAAAAACATTACCAAATGATATATTATTATTCAATATTGTAAAAGTATATTTCTCTTCATTAATGACTCTTACTAGGATATTATTATTTATGTTTACTCCACATAAACCAAGTTTATGTGTAGCATCTCTAAAATTAATAAAACATACAAAAAGAACTACCCTAAACTGAAGGGAAAAAAAAAAATTGTGGTTGAGAAGTTAGTTCACTAGGTAATAAAACACTTGATTAGACTGTTAAATTAAGAGCTACTAACTTGAAACATAATTAATGAAAATGAACAACAAATACATAACAATAAGAAGCTAGGTGACGATGATAAATAACTTTGTTCCGTCGTATGATTTTAGTTATAACTCGTTATCAAGTTAATGTTTATTCATTTGTATCAACATTGTATCGATAGCTATCACTAGCCTATTATGTTGTTTAATTTTGCCTCTTATTCTCTCCCAAAATATAAGTATAAATATAATCCATCTTCTTTTTCTACATAATTAAACCAATCCCCTCATGATCATCTAGATTGAGTCGTCACATACCCAGGTTAATAATTTATTGATAATTTCAGAAATGAAAACATGTACTTTCGGATGTAGAGAATTAATTAAAGAGTACTAGTACACTTTTAAACCTTTTTCACAGGAACTAAGATTAAACTCTACTGCATAATTTAAGATAATAATAATAATTCCAATTAATTTTTGCATTACACATGCATTTCAATTAGATGGATGATGATCATGAGATTGAAGAAATTCAAGAATATAATCCTTCAAATTCAAACCAACATCTCGATCCTTAACCCTAACATATTTCTCCCCTAATTTATCCAAATATTCCTCCATTACCACTTTCCCATTTTTATTCCACAATTCCTCCCCAAAACTACGATGCCCAAAATACCCCTCTGCTTCCGTCACCCGCGGGTCACCTTCCTCATCCGTCACCACCTCTATAGGAAGCCGCTCATAGTGTCCACGGCTGATCCCTTCAAGCTCGTCCAACCGGGCCAGGCCCAATCCCGATACCGAGTATAGCTCTCCGATGACCCGGTGACCCGACCCGGGAATGTTGATCAAGAAGGGGATACCCAAGGGCCCGCATACTAGAGGGTATGAATTGAGGGTTTTGTAACAGCCTAGGAAAACGGCGTCGTTTGTGGCGGTGAGCTCTTCTAAGAGGTGGTGGTTTGGGAAGCCTCGTTTAAGGGTTCCATAGACGAATAATTTGGTGATTTGGTTGGTGGAAATGGTGGACATTGGTGATTGTTGTGGTGGAGAGAGAGTTTTTGGATTTGGGGGAAGCAGTAGAAATTATTTGTTTGATTTAAATGATACTGTTTGATATATTGATATTGGAGTGGGCCTTAATTTGAAAATTGGATTCTTGTGCTAAATTCTCTCACAAGTTAACCTGACCTATTGTATGGATGAAGTTCATAAAAAGTGAAAAAATGATAAGGAATCATACTCTGTATCACATAAAAGATTCTGGTAAGAATTTAAAATTAGGATATGTACAATTCACCGGCTTTTCACTTATATTATCCGTATGTTATTTTATTTTATTTGAATTTATTTTAGTTGTAATTTAAAGTTAGTTAAATATTAATTTATTTTTCCTAAATTTATATTATATGCACTTTGCTGAATTTATGAGATTTGATATAAGTAAAAAGAGGGTGAACATAATAGGGTCTTATATCATGATCTTGTGATTATAATGTGCATTATGGCTATGGACGAATACGAGTATGTTAAAAAATAATGTCCAACTAATTCAATGTTTGGCCATTATAATGGATTAAAAACTCTACACATTGATCCTACAATAATCTACATTAAATAACACTATCGACTTATTATCGAGAGTGAAGGATAGCTCAAGTGGTTAAAGTTCCCCTACGGTTCCAAGTGATTTGGGGATCAATTCTCATCACTCGTCCTTATGGCTCTCTTAACACCATAAAAAACTATCGACTTATCACCCCTTAGGGCTCTTATTACTCATTGATGGCTTGTTCGACGGTTTTAATTTTTATACATAATATGTTTTTTTTTTTCCCAATTTGAAAAAGAAATGGAGAGATAAGCTAGTGAAGTGACTCAAGTGAGCTAAAATATACGAAGTAATATTAATTTATTCAATGTACCCATTTTGTTTTTGATTGCTTTAAAGTGGGTGATAGCTTAAAGTAGCTTAAACCTTTTAACACAAATTCTTCATGAGACATTAATTTGGGCTGGACTATATATTGAAGTGGACCAGTGATGGTATAAACTACACGTTCGTAGTTAATAAAGTTACACGGCCCAACTTTCACGAACATGGGCAAAGTCCAATTCATACTTCACAAATGATGCATCTCCATTTTTGGGTTGTTGCATAAAACCAAACCTCTACTTTGATTCTCCCCCAAATCATCTCAAATATCATACTTCTGATTGTTAAAGTAATAATCATAATAGTGTTACTAATTATATCTTGAAAAATACTATTTCCTCTAAAGTTTTCATTTGATAGTTTGTAATTAGGATTATTCGTATGACATAAATAACAAGGTTTGAACTTTTCATTTCCTCATTCTAGAACTAGACTCACTGGGGGTGCGAGGACAATAAGTTTTCTTAACCTTGTGAAGTACGATGATAATATAAACGGAGAAGTATATTTAGACTCATTGAGTTGAGGTTTTCCCTTTGGAATTTTCTCTCTAGCTTTGCCCTCGTTCCTATAATATAAGAGCAAGTTCAATTCATCGATCATACATGTTATTCATCAATTATTAGACATCTGAACTTAGTATAGGTTGAAGATCAAGTTAAATGATATCTATAATAACAACAAATATGTTTGATAAAATATACTAACATAATTGCCTTAAGAATAAGTAAAGACGAAATAATTTCCTCAAGTAAAAATTGATGTAAGGCTAGAGGTTACCGGCCTTACTATATTAGGTGTTAGATAGCGAACGTGCAAACAGTCTTACTCTTAGATTATTGAGCGTAATTAGATGGAGTAGTGTGTATTAAAATGTACTCCCTCCGTCCCTTAATTAGGTGTCTACTTCTCTTTATTATGTGAGTAATAAATGCTAGAAATAGACATTTAAATAAAGGGATGGAGGGAGTACAAAATAAAGCAAAACAGATTTCATTTGCTGAATCCTAGGGAACGGAACACTTCCAATTAATAGTGAAAATAGTACTAGAATCTTCTAACCAGCAAAAATTAGCTGTACAAAATGTAAAATTGAAGCAAACATAAGATTCAAGACTTGATTGATGAACCAAAGCAGCACATGCTGATCTGTTTAAGAATACCAAATCACAGAAAAGATCTTTAACTACTAAAATTAAATAGTCTGATTTACCTCGTAAAAGAACTTTAAGATGCTTTAATTTGTCATTTTAGCATTGTAAATTGGCTTATTAGATTGAGAAATGAAGTAAACGTCAAATAAAAGGGATGCATGAATCAAAATTAAGTAGTCCACTGAATTTGTCTTACTTATTTTATTTGGTTGGTATACGAGAATGGCTAATTATTCTTCAAATATCGCATTGAAAATCTAAGAATGTGACAAGATTCTACAAATTTGTATCGGTAATCGTTAATATTCTCAATTTCCAACTGTTCTTACTGCGCTGCATTGTAGGCACCTATTTGTTTTTGTGTCCGCATACCCTTACATATTATAGGGATCCAATAGTAACATACACATGGTCATGCATGCGGGTCATACATACCCATCATAAAACGAGATCGAGTCGACAACTCGACATCACAAAATCGAATGAAGCATATACCTTAAAATCATATGGCAATTAAGACGGATAATCCCTACTTAGCATTATAAAGTGGTGATTAACTCTCCTTTCTAGTATTCTTATATTTTATCAAAATGTAGTTGTACATATTTCCATAAGCACTCATACTTATCCCCTATATTGTTGATGTACGTTCATTTCTTATTATTTGATTGGATCAGATCATCATCATCATAGGGTATCAAATAAAATTATAAAGCCCTTGCCCAAACACATAATATATAGTGCAGTAACGTCCAACAAGTACATACTTAATACAAGTATGGTTTACCCAATTACAGAGTAATTTATACAACTACTCAATGATTATATGGAGTAACATTCAACAGTACAAACAATTCAAATTTATCGATAGATCAAATAGGTTAAGTGAACCATTTAATTGAAATCACATGTTGATTGCGTAATAATAAATTTTGGCGCATATTAGACAAACCAACAATTATACTATCATACAAGACCTCAATTTTGTATCTGACTACATGTAGAACAAATATTTCTTTGTTCATCATTAATAGCTAAATTAAGAAAGATAAGACTGAAAAACAAGAACATGATGAACAAAACTAATCATTGCACAATGTCCATAAAACAAAAGGATCGGAGGGATACATTTAACTATATCCTGAATTCTTGTTCCTTTGAAATGTATTTAAATAAACCGACCATAGTATTACATTCTTCATTCCGAACCTTAAACTCTAGTATAAATTTCCTATTTTCATGTGATCTGATCAAAGTTCAGGTCCCCTAGCCTAATCCTAAAGAGTGGCAAGATTAATTAGAAGAAGCATATCAGTAATTTAGTTTTAGTTTCCAAAAATCTGTGCTATAATATGAACCAACAAGAGATCAACATTAATCTCGATTATCAAAGAAAAGTTAACCCTTTTTCTTTATCCTTGTCCCTCTTTTTATCAATAATTAAAATAATCAATAAGCTTAGCCTAATCCACGTTGTAGCTTGTACTTTTTAGCATTGGGATTATGAATTACGGATCATGTTTTATTTTGGAAACATGTTCAACCTTTGGGTAACAAATGACCACGTACGAGATTAATTGGCTATATTATTGTACACGTATTCATCGGTCGATCTGATCCCGTATTCCCGTCAAAATAATCCATGCTTGCCTACCGTAAACCACATTATTGAAAATGTATAATGTATCTACTCAATATTTGTATACTTAAAATAGATTGTTATTACATATACAGTTCGTATAAGTTTGGAGTCAACCTAAACAAGTTTAATTTTGTCATTTATACATTAACTAAAACTTGGTTGAAAAAAATAAAAAAATATGTATTGTAAAATATCAACAAAGTAAAGATATCATGAGACAGATAATTTTTTTTTTTTTTTTTCTTTTTGAGATAAGATGAAGGGTCCTATCGGACCAGATTTCCTTACTGATCAACTTGGTCTGGGTTAGCGGGTTAAACAGTTTGGGAGAGTGAGGAGAAGGTAAGGGAACCTCATCTCCGAAATTGTCACTAGTGAAGATTAAACCTATAACCTCATATTGAAAGGTAATCTCCTTTCCACAGTTTCACTAGTTCAAGCTTAGCTTGATTAATAATATACGTTGTAAATAGCCGTGGTCGCAAAACTCCGTAGAGGATTTCAAGCGTATTATAGCATTGGTTATAAGTAACAAACAGCTTTAAACATAGATAAAATATGCAAAGATACAAAATGAAACAAGGAGAAAAAGATAAGGTATATATAGACAATTAGACATTCGTGTGGGCAAATTCGGCGTGTAATGGTTGTCATCAAAGAGACACTAACTGTCTCCCCGGCCCATTAATTTAAACCATCTTTGTGAGTTTTCAGAGACCGAGAGACGTATTAAACATTCAAAGAATACAGACATTTTTTTAATTTTTAATTAATATTTGATGTATAATGTAATGTTTTTTTATTTTTATATGGTATTGGTTGCTCTAAAATACCAATTCAAGTTATTATATAAATTAAGGGTAATGTTATACATAGCCCTTAGGGTTATGTTTAAGACATTATTATATTTCCTAAAATGGAAATAATTTATAAATTCATAATAAATTCACGCGCAAATTAATGTAATAAATGCTTGATTTTATCAAATATTACCACTTTTGGCTCCTTATTCATACCCCTTAGAGCTATGTTTATCATTTCCCGTATATTAATAAAGTATCATCCTTTTATTTTTCTTGTGGTTTCTGATATTGCTACATAAAGCTCACAAACGACATTGTCACGTGCACCGTTGCTCCTTTGGGATCGCCCATCCATTTATCCCCACCATCTTTTTATGGTGCGTGGTACTTCTAATTGCAAGGTTGTTATTTTTCAATTCTCAGCTCTATTCGTATAATCTTCAAGTGTTTTAAAGAAAATTAGTACTTCGTATATGATATGTTAAGTTGAATAGGAGAACCATACAAATTGGTCTGGTAGTAAAATTATTTTGGTTTAATAACAAATGGCAAATGAATAGTGAAAAATGTTAGGAGACGAGCAATAAGAATATAAGATAGATATATAGGTGAATAAAATCATAAGGTACGATCGACTTAGCAAAGGATTGTTTAAGACATTGATGTAGGCCTAAAAGCTTAAGGTGGTGAAAGGATTGGTCATAAGAATTGACAATGAGCAGGAATGAAATAGAAGCCGGCAGATTGATCAAGCTCCATAT